AATGTCAGGCTTAGTCACTTACATATGCTTAATCAAGTAGATGTTTATTTTGGCAGCTAATCTTGTTGGTTTGCATTTAGAAAATATCATTTGCAAATGTTTATATATGGCTTTCTTTAGTATTGATTGGGTCTCTGAAGGCCAGAACTGTATTTTTGTCTGTATTGATAGAAATGTCATACTAATTCTACATGCTTTGTGCTGATTCTTTGTCTCATGTTTCACCACCCCGATAATACTTTCTTGCAATCCTTTGGGAGTTGTTTTGCTTGCTGCATCTTGCTGCTTTTACCACCTAGCAGCTGTAATGCTTAAGCTGGCAATTCCTAAGCTTAGGAGGAAAGGATTGGCTGTAAATGGAGCCTTTTAGCCCAGAAATGTTTGCCCTCTATGCTCCAACATGCTCACTACCTAAGTTCTAGGCAGAATGGTCCACCAGCTCAGCCACTTGATATGTTTTGAAGAAGTACCTGCTTTTGCAAAAGCAGAAGATGCTGAGTTTCTTGTAGTTAGAGACTGTCAAGCTAGGCAGCTGTAGACTTGTGCCACCATGACTGGTGGAATAATTCAGTGTTTCCTGATGGAAAAGCAGGGTAGGAAAGCATTAAAGCTTTATGACAGACGATTATGATGTCTTTTAATACCCATTCTCCTAGATGTAGCATGCTTCAAGAATTCTCAGATGTTGATAAATCACTAGTTCCAGCTGTCTCTAACTGCAACACTCTTCATCTGAAGATAAGTTGGTAATTCTTGGCTCTGAGCCACTTTTCAAATGTGTGTCTCAGTTTGTCTTAGATGGCTTTATCTTGCCCTTTTTGTAAAACTTGTGAAACTGCAGTAGTGGTACACATTAATTGTTACAAGTTGAAGTTTTTATTTATCAATACATTTCCCCACAAGTTTTGAGATGTGTTTTGCTTTGAAAATTAAGCACAGCCCTTTTTTTTTTTTTTGCTTGGAACACCTCAGTAAAGAAACTTAAACTTGGCAAAAGCTACAAATGCTACAAATTTGTGGAGCAACTATTTTTATACCTTGCTGCTGAGGTCTCAACTAGCCTGTATACATGTCTCTGTTTTTCTCCTCCCTAGGAGTTTACATCCTTATTGGAGCTGGTGCACTTATGATGATGGTTGGTTTCTTGGGATGCTGTGGTGCGTTGCAGGAATCTCAGTGTATGCTTGGCTTGGTAAGTGTTCAGAGTAGTGTTTACATTTTTAGCAGCATGATGAGAAAGGAAGGAAAATATTATTGGGCAGTTAAAGGGCAGCAGATGCTGATTGTTTTGGCTGCACAAGGTTTAAACTCATGGTCAACTACATATGTTAAATATTAAGTATAGTTTCCATTTCTGGCCCTAAATCCAGATGTCCGTGTTGTATTTCAGTACAGGATGACTTCAGGAGTTAGTGACAGTCAGATGCTGAAGTACCAAGTCTGGGAGCATGGGTGAACACAGAACTAAATCTTGAAAAGAGTAATGCTATTTATTAAACAGTTTGTCGTGATCTGTGAAGGCTGTGCAATCTTTAATCTTTGAGACTGGTCTCAAACTGTGGTATTTGCTCTTTGAAACAACAAGCCTCTACTGTTCGTAATCACAGGATGAGCTCTTCTAGTTGACAACTGCTCTGCAAGCTAATTATTGGAGAGCAACCTCATTGTTTTCAGACTGGAGGGGCCAGTAGAGCTTACTGGGTTCATGCACATCTGTACACTTGTGGAACTACTCATCCAAATAACCAGAAGACTTAGTTAATAAAAGACTACTACTATACCTGGAGAAAGAACAATTCCCCTTCTGTGTCATGGAAGAAGTTAATTTAATGTATTTCTTGCAAAATGATGCCTCTAGCTCTCTGTTGTAATTCTGAACATCTCTTTAAAGTGCCTTTAAATGGTAGTGGTATTTTGGACCTGGTAGTCAATTAAATGTAGAGATGACACTTTTATTTCTACTTTACGGGATACACAACAAAGAAGTGACCATTAGCTCTCTGGAAGCTGGTGGCAAGCTAGGTATTAAGTAATGACTCCTAAAGCAATAGGAGTGTCAAGCCAGAGAAAAGAATTGGTGTCAGCTATTGTGATGTGTCTGAGTGACCTGGGCAACTTCAAAGTCTGAGTTAACAGATGATTGGTTTTAATTATCACTGATCAAAAAGGAGGACTTCTGCTTGGAAAACACTGCCAGGCTTTCTGATGCTCCTGGGAAGAAGTGCTGATGCAGTGCAGTGTGTCCTCTTTCCTAGTCTTACCAGTGTTTCAGACCTCCAACTGGAACCTGATTGAGTGACGCTTCCCACAAGGCTGGACACTGGGAACTGGACAAGCTTGCAGTATGTATGTGTCATGCTGTTTTGTAGTACTGTGGTCTTAATGATGTGGTCTTTCTTTTCCAGTTCTTCCTCTTCCTTTTTGTGATTTTTGCCCTTGAAATTGCTGCTGCAATCTGGGGATTTGCAAATAAAGATAAGGTAGGTTGCTCTTAAAAGCTGGCAGGGTGGTAGGGTGCTGGAACAGGTTGCCCAGAGAAGTTGTGGATGCCCCATTACTGAAAGTGTTCAAAGTCAGTTTGGACAGGCCTTTGAGCCTTTAGTGAAAGATGTCCCTGCCCATGGCAGGGGGATGGGACTAGATGATCTTTAAAGGTCCCTTCTGGCCCAGACCATTCTGGGATTCTATGACTGTGCCCACGGAAAGTTAGGAGTCTACTGAAATCTGTAACAGTACTAGTCAAATCCTGATTACCCAGGGAATTTGGGGGAGAGGAAGAAGATGTGTTCTAGCAAAACAGTACAAGAAATTAAACTCTAATATTTAAAAATGAGACTGTAGCAGAGAAGCCAGGATCTGAGATGCTGTTGCATGCTGGAGATGCCCTTTAGGCAGCACCTGGCTGAGCAAAGCGGGCCAGCAGTGAAGCTTTACCATTTCTGGATATGAACTGGGTCAGCTATGGGCTGAATGTTCCTGCATCTAAAACATGACTGATCTGGGCTGTCCCCTCACAAGCAGTCAAGATTCTGTCTTGTTTCAAAATAACGTGCTTGGTGATCAGGGTTGCTTTTCTGCTTGTATTATACAACAGGGGAATATAGCAACTTCTGGGGTACAGAAATGAATAGGGAATATTTTTGTATAACCAGTGGGCAGAGACTTGGTTATCTAGCTCCTAGAAGCTCAGAGGTTTGGAAGAGAAACTGAATCTTACCTGTTTAGGTGTGGCTTTTAAGGTGAGTGTACCAGTTAGGCTCACGTGTTCTGGGTGAGAAATGCTGTCCACCCTCTGTTTCCACCCTGTATTTCTACATGTCAAAAGGATGGGTATTGTAGGTTGCAGAATTTTTAATCACTGACTTCTCAATACAATTTTCCATCATTAAGGTAAGAAAGTAATACACCACAACTCTATCCTGTAGGTTACTGACGAGTTAAAGAACTTCTACATGGAAACCTATGGAAAGAGATCTCAACCAGCTGCCAGAGAGACCCTGAAAGCATTTCAGTTAGCTGTAAGTACACAGTTATGTATAAACTAGACAGTAATGCGGCTTGTTCACACTGTTCTCCATGTCATCCAGTCCCCTCTACAAGTCTAGGATCTTAGTAACTAGAAGAAACAAAAGGAGTATTAGTAACAAATTGCAGAGGAGATCTTTTTGTATACTATCAGTGCATGCAGTATGCCTTTTTGTCCCTCAACCTCTGAAATGCATAGAACAAGTTCTTGTTTTCCTAAACAAACTCAGAAGCAAGCTGGGAAACTCTAGATCTGTGGTATTGATCTAGAGGATCCATAGTATGCATACCTGTATGTCTATGAGGAGTTCCTCTTTGTCTGTAAGGAGTACAAGCTGTCACCAAAATCAATGTGTGCATACTTATGAGATCTAGCTCTCTCAGAATCGTGTACTTTAATGCAATAAAGTCTTTTTAAAATTAGGTTTATAGCAGTCACATTGGCAGGATTTCTAAGCAAATTTGTGTAAGGTCTGTAATAAAATCTAAAGTAATCTATTTCTACTTTTTACCAAATACAGAGCAAAACAAGGATCATTTAACCTGGTTCTCTTTTTTCCTGTTTTCTCTTGTAGCTAGACTGCTGTGGACTCACAGGAGCTCTTGAGCAGCAGTTCATGGACACCTGTCCGAAGAAGACCACTCTTGAGTCGTTTTCTGTAATGGTAAAGTATGACTTAATTCACTAACAGCTCTGCCCAGTGAGTAGAATGAGAAACATGTTTCTGAGCAAACCCTTCCCATCCATGGGAAATTCCCATGTCACACTCACTTAGCAACCTATCTCTATAACCAGTCTGGTTATGGAAAATCAAAGTACTGTTACTATGGAAAGAACAAGCAGGGTCAGCAGGAAATCTGAACTTGCACAGGAGATGTGCAGTCTGTGAGTCACTAGACTCGCTGGTATGACAGCTTAAGGCCAAAACTTCACCTAAAAACAATGCTAGAGAGCTCTGTTCTCCTGGCTCCTCCTATTGCCAGAGCATCTTCCTGTTGCTGCATGGGAGCTCTCACCTCCCCTCTTGGTTAGAGAGAAGTAGAGCACTGGGTGGGAGCAGGTCTGAAGTTTTAGCAAGGAAAAGGAGAGGGAGTAAGTGCATTGGTAGCCTGTTCAGGTGAGTATGTCACTGAAGCCAATTCTCTGAATCAGATTCCCCTGTTGAAATATTGTTGCAAAGGTGCCTGTATGCCACAGATCCAGAGAGGCATCTTGTATAGTTCTTCACTACCTCTTTTTCTTACAACTGTATTGTGCTCTTGCTTCATGATCCAAGGCAGCCTGTATAAGTCTTCCCATAGGAAATAAATGATACAGGAATTCAATTAATGATGTGATTTTTTTCTTTCAATTTTGCTCTTCCTTTCACTACAGATGATTTTGTGCCTTCAAATACCTGACCACATGAGACATTTCAGTCTGTATTTAGATTGTATCTTTGTCCACACAATCTGCTATGAGTTAGACAATGTGGGAATAGCTGAGACAGCATGCAGGTTTTATTGTTTGCTTTTATTCTAAGTGTGTTTTTAGCTTAATCTGACTTCATCTTGCGATGTGTTTATGGCCTAGTCCCAACTGTAGAAAAATAGGAGATAGACTGCAAGATGAAAGGGGTGTAATGGTGTGGCTGATCTGTTTGCCTCTAAGAAGCAGTGCTGTATTGATACTCAGATTAACTGATTAATTGTTGCTAGTATATCCCTTTAATCCTTGATTCAGTCTTTCCTTCTAGACTGGATAGGGAACAACTGAAGAAAAAAGTAGTTTTCAGCAGCTCACTGTAGTCTGCTGCTGGAATAAGTAGATGGGAATTGGAATGAGACTTTGACCAGCTACCAGGCTCTTAAAGCTTTATACTTCTGTAAAAGTTCCTTGTTCTTTTTCTTGCCTACCATGTGTCTTTGCTGAGGAAAGGACTGTACTTGAATTCTTCTTTAGTTGCAATGGTAATGTATTGTCCTGGGAGCTTCAAACTGGCACCTCTGTGAATCTGCCCATAGCCTAGCATGTATGCATGCAGCTCAGGAAATCCTGCCATTCCCATGCACCATGTGTTCATAAGGTGCCTGCAAAATTACAATAGTTATTGGAAATATCAAGAGTGGCTACAAACCTGTTTTGAGAAGGGCTGAGCAATAGAGCAACTTAAATGCTGGCAGCCTTCAGTAACAAGCCAAGTTTGGTACAACTGCTGTTGGTCCTGATCTACCTGATCAGCTGCAGGTGTTGAGAAGGGAATCCTGCTGTAGCCAAGGTGCAGTTAAGAAGTTTAGATACTTGAAGAGTAGATTTAAACTTCTCCACCACTTTCGTGTTGGAACATCTCTGGCTCTCTTTAAAGATGTGAAAATAAAGGCCAGTTTGGAGCAGCCTTCAGAAGATGAGCCTTCATCTCTAGTGCAAGCAGACTTGGTCAAAGGTGTAGCATCAATTGACAGACTTGAGCTTGAACAAGCAAGTAGAAACAAATCTTTTTTGTTTGTTTACTGTATGTATGAAGCACTAGTGAACAGTCTGTTTCTTTTCAGTCGTGCCCTGCTGCCATTGATGATGTCTTCAATTCGAAACTGAATGTGATTGGAGCAGTTGGCCTTGGCATTGCTGTAATAATGGTGAGTTTCCAGTATTTAGAGGGTAGCTGTATGGCCAAAGGATACTTACAGCAGAAGTCTGTTAAATAGTGCCTGGCATATGGCAGTCTACAAGCCTATTCCACTAATGACAGGTACCAGCAGGATCAGGGTGTGTGCTGTGAGGCCTGCAGGCAGCATGGAGGGTGGGGTATCTTGGACCTCCCTGCTTCTGCTTTGGATTAGGATCTGCTTCCTTGTAGTTTCAGCAGTGGTGAAGTTATATTGGTAGTGCATGTATATATAGGGCAAAGATGTATTGGTCATGTTGCCAGCGCACTTCTTAATCCTAATATCTCTTGGGGATCCTTGCTTTTGTTTCCTTTATAACGATTAAAGATTCTGTGAGAGAACTGAAATAACAGTGCAAGTAAGAAAATTTGCACTTTTTTGTTTGATTTCTCTGGAGGAAGGTATGAAATGGATGCAGATACGCTGGGATGATCAAAGATTTCTTAGGAGATAGGGTAGTGGTTTATAGCTGATCTATTTTGCAGTATTGAGGGTGAAGGGGATTCATGAGAATGGGCTGAAATTTGGAGGTGGAGGGGAAGGGAGGGTCAGGGACATACATGAACTGCAGAATAAAGTGTTAATATGGCCTCTGGGCCAGGAAGAGCAGAAGTGCTTGTCCCCATGTTGATAGAAGAATGTGTTTTGGTCCCCCAATTTCTAACGCATTTGCTTTCTTTACAGATTTTCGGCATGATATTCAGTATGGTTCTCTGCTGTGCTATCCGTAAAAACAGAGAAATGGTCTAAGAGCTAAAAACCGAAGACTGCTGCACTATAAAAATCTTTGTCATTAACTTTAGCATTCTGAAAGCATTTCTAAGAAGTTATATATTTGTTACCTTTTTAATGCTTTATTTGGTACTGATGTAGGTTTGCTTTTTATGTTATAGGTTAAAATGATAAAGGTATATCTGACTCAAGACAAATATTGTACATAAAATATCTGACTCTTGAAACAAGTAATTTGGATGTAATTTATGTTGGAGACAATTTGATACTTAATAAAGAGTAAGATGTATTGTATGTTTGTGGGGGAGAAGAAATTTTACTATGTTTATTAATCATACTCTTTGATGCATAGTGTGGAGTTGAACTTGCATAACATGTTAAGTGTTAAATCACTAGGGCTTTAGTATAAAGCAGGAGATAAATCCTGTGCCAATGCCATATTTGAAGGGAGTTCCAAGGAATGGAAAAGATGACTTGTCAGAGCATGTCATGGAAGGTATTGTCATTCTTCCTTTCCTTGATGTCTGAACAAAAGCAGTTCTTAATTATATTCCTAAAATGTTACTGCTGTAACACTTCTACTGTCATCTTCATACAGGGTGCCAAAGGATGACTGTCATACTAGTGATATGCAGGCAGTGGTACTTTGATGCAAACAGGCTGGGCTTTACCCTAGAGCCAGCTGGGCTTTCTCATATCAGCCTGTCTGCTGATGTAACTCTGTCCCCTGGCATCTGACATGGCCTGGGTCCCTTGACAAGACACATTCCCATAGAGTATGCTCAGGGTTTTTCTCAATGGCTGGCTTTGTGCTTTGTTTTTCCAAAGCCAGCAAAGCACAGTCTCAAGGGCTTATGACATTTGTGCCAAATCTTAGGTTTCCAAGTGGAAGAAACAAAAGTTGCATGAGAAGTTATGGTACAGCTCTGCAGTTGCTGCTTGCAGCAGCACCTAGAGCTGTGGCTATCCTATTTCTGTTTAAAAATGGATATGGGAGGGAGCAGATATATTAGTGTGGAACCCTTAGCCTAAAGAATTACCAGTTTGTCATGCACTTCTACTCTAAATGGCTTTCTAAGTGTGTGGGGTTTTTTGTTTAAAATACCTTCTGGTGGGGGCTGCCTATGGACTTGGATCTTTACCAGCAAGTTGATGTGCTACACCTGTATCTGGTGTTCCCCTACTGTAGTATCTCAGCTGTGTTGCTAGGAGCTTCTGGTCTTTGTCCTCTAGGTACTACAAATGTCTTTGTAGTCCTTGCTTGTTCCCACCTTTCTCTTGTAAGGAGGCTGGTATTTATTATGAGAAATATCAGAATTGTTGAGGGTCAGGCTCTGGCTGTAGCTCTGGACTAATGCATGAATGTATTGCCCACCTTTGTTACACATTGTCACTTGTCTAAGGGGTTACGCAAACCATACAGCTCTCCTCTGTAATGCGTTGTACTACTCTGTTAATGGGGCCTTAAAAAAAAGTCTGGATTTCAAAAAAAATCAAATGGTAATCATGCTTTTGTGCGTCTTACAGAGACTGGAATGACTGCAGAAGGGAGTTGATCTAATTTTCTGTCTTGGATATATGAGAGCCTGGAGGAAGAAATCTAATCTCATATGGGAATTTGAGACCTACCATGTCCCTGAGCTGTTGCAGCACTGAGAAGTAGCATTTGTCAGCTGTGCAATTGTGGGCATGAGACTGAACCTGGCACCTGAAAGAGCTGGGGTGAATTGCTGTCAACCATAATGAAAGTTTACTCCTGACTTCAACTGCCCTTGGTTTTGTTGCTCCATGTTGGTGCATGTGTTCAGGTTGCCAACATCCAACATGGCTGTAGTCCAACACTAGCAGGGTTTGTCAAAGTCCAAGAAAATGCAATGGGTTGTAATTAGGGTGATGAGAACTAAGCTGTAGGCTCAGCACCTCAGCTCATGAGATGGGTTTGGGTGACTGCTACTGGCATCCAGGTCAACTGAATATCCAGAAGACTTGGGTTTATACCTTCAACTGTTGCTGCCTTCTACAGAAGCTGGATGGGGGCTTCCTGTGTGTTAGTCTTTACCTTGCAATGCTGCTGCCTTAACTGCAGTGTTTACTGCAACACTTCATGCCTCTGTGATGCCTGCCTCTTTTCCCCCATTTTTTTTTAAGTCCTACAGCCCATCTTTGGCCCTTCTTTTTGAACATCCTATCTGTGTAGGTTGGTGTTTTCCAAGTAATCAGTAGATGGGTAAGTTCTGTTTTATCAGAGTGAGCTATTGTTTATTACTTGACTGTTATTTTCCTTTTAGCAGGAACATGAACTACAGCCACAAAATCTGGTTGCAGTCATCCTAAGATCTGTGATCTGCAAGCTAGCCTGGAATGAATCAGGAATGAATACTGATGAACTGAATGATGAGAAGTTTTACTTTACAAGCAGCAGTTGTGACCAAATTTCCTGAAGACTTCAGTTCTAAGAGATGGCAGCCTTAAAAATCAGGGTTTGTAGCACTGACTGTCCAAGCCAGGGAGTGAGTTCCCATCTTCAAGTTAGGTTGGGATTGTCTCAAGGAAGCTGGAGTGGAATGTGACTTGGAAGTAATATTTAGAGGTGCAGGTGAACAAAAGGGATAATAGACATTCTGGGAAAGCAGGAATAGGGGAATTATAATACTGAAGGGGAAACACTGTGTTTGTCTCTGAGACTTTTTTTATGTATGTGCTGTGGTAGAAGTGACTAACACTGGTGTAATGCTTGTGAAGGGAGGGAGTGCAAAATGAGTTGGGATGTGGCAAGGATCCCCATTAGGAAGAAGCTTGTCCTGGTTCAGTGGGTTGGCAGAGAAGTAAGTGGTGATGCTTGGAAAAAAATTGGGAGTAGAAAAAAATTATCCTAGAGGTGGGATGTAATGTCTATTGGGAGGAACAGCTGGGGTGAAGGAAAACATAGAAAAGTAAAATACTACTTTGTCTCTTCTGTGGCATCCTAGCTTCCCCATCAGTAAACAGGTGGTAACTATGTTAAGACCTTAAAGCCTGCCTGGAATGTGCCAAACCACTCCAGAAAGGAAAATGGTTTAAGCAGCTTTATTTCCAGACACAAGTGGATTTCTTCATTAAACACAGGTGCTGCTAATCCTTTGCACTAAATTTGCTTAATGTAGCTATGTTTTGTGGCCAAATGTGATGCTGTATGTTGTATGTGTATGGGAATTCCTTGTGGATGGCAAAGAGCTGTGGGGTCAGAGCAGTCCTGGTCTAGACACTTGCTTGGATTGGGATAGTAGAAGAGATGATAAATGGTAATGGGAGTAAGTCCTATGTTAGGCACTAACATAAAACACCACTTGTAATGCTGTTACATAGATAACATTATGCAAAGTTTGCATGGGCTGTTGGAAATGAATGTGGCAAAGTGGCAGGGCACAGGTTGCTGCTGGGTTTTGGTTTGTGTAGGTGGGGAAGCATTGGTGGTCTCTGCACCATACTGCTCCAAGACTGCTGTCAGCTGTGCCCCTTGTCTGCTGCTGTGAGGAAAATCAGGGAAGATCAAGCATCTGAAGGATATGGCTGTTTATATGTTGTAAGCTAGCCCAGGATGGCAGGGGAAAAATAATAGACCACATGCAGAATATGGGAATTTGCACCAGGAAATGGTATATCTGCTGTTGTAAAGTCCTTGCCCTTTAGTCAAACATTTGTTTTCTCTATCTTGCAAAGTCCAGAGGAAGGGTGGATTTGGCAATCTACAAAGTAATTATGCCAGGAGAAAGGTTCTTTTTAGACTGACTTTATAAAATCAGAGCTAGCCTGCCTTAGGAATGGAGAGTCTCAAGCTAGCTGCATGGTCAGCAATGTTGGAAGAAGGTGCACCAAGGCAGGGAGAGCCTGGTTTTCCACAGGGATGGGGTTTATTGCTGGAAAATAGCTTCCTCCTTTACAGTGGAACTGGGAAAATCTTCTGTGGTACAGCACATTGTCATTTTACAGGAATCCTAGCACACCAGCACTGTAATTGAGTAGAAGGAAATGCCAGCAGCTCCATGAAATGTGGAAATGGTGTGGGATGTGGGAAGAAGCTGGCAATACTGGAAAGAAAGGTGTGAGCCTAACATGTTGGGGGGGTGGTGGTGGGACTAAATCCTGTCTTATCAGAGACTTTAAAAATTTAAATCCATCATACCATTTCTAACTACATTTCAGCAATTAATAGCCTTACTCATAAAAAGTGTAGAGAAAATGTGTTTGCAGAAGGGGAGGATGTAGTTACCTGCAAGGTGCCTTCAAAAAGAGCTCCTAAAGGAATTGCTCCAGTAGACAGACAAGCCTGGATTTACTTTGACGGCCTATCCCAGTCAGGACTATACTTCATCCCCTCCACCCTTCAGGAGAAAAGAATATGAATTGTTTGGAAACAGCTTTTAGGAACTGCCTGTACATCTCCACTATTCTTGTTTTAAAGAAGAATCTGAGTCCAAGCAAACTTTGCAGGAGATGGGCTCAGAGCAATTGCTCTGGGGGAGGGGCGGAAAAAAAGTGGTGAGGACAAACTCCCAGTGATAAATTTGAGTCTGATGCAGTTTCCATGGGGGATGTGCTATCTTAAAGGTCTTTTCCAGCCTAAACAATTCTATGATTCTATGAAGTTCAAGCTGAGCCCTGCCCTGTTTTCTTACAAGCTCTGAATGCAGGTGCTTGCAAGCCTTTGCAGAGATGGCTGTCTAGCAAGCCTCCAGCTGTAGGCAATGATGCAAGTAATGCAGGGGCTCTAAATACTACAGCACCTTTTTTCATCCTTTTTTTTTTTGTTGTTGTTGTGGGTTTTTTAAGTTACTTCTCACTGCCAGCCTGCTGCTGGCAAGAGGCTGATAATGTGGAGGCAGGTGACCATCTGAGCACCCTGGAAGGACAGGGGTGTGCTGTATAGCAGGGGAAGCAGTGTGATGAGCCAGGTGCTTTCCAGCAGAGTAAACAAGTCCCTGCAGCCACTGCTGCTGTGCAGGAGAGACACCCTGTGAGCCCCCGGGGGCCTGGGGGCTGCTGTCCCTTTAACTGTGCTAACAGCACAGCCCAAGCTGGGTTTTGTTTGGTTTCTATGTTTAGAGGGTGGTTTATGCCTATGGCCACTGTATAATTACGATGATTATAAAATAGCCACCTCTTCAGTTTCTGCCTGTTGGCAGCTCTGAAGAAATGACCTAATTTGAACTGGCAGCACAGAGAACCTTGAACCCTATCAAAAAGCACTTTTAAATGAACCTAGAACATACAGACAGTTGCCAGACTTTGCTGCCAATGATAAAAATAGG